TTGTGTGCTTAGGGTAACCCTACGGACCTAATGATACCCTTGGGTAGGCCCATAGGCCCCAAGGAATATCCTTAGGTTGGCTCCGTTTTGCTATGTGCTTAGGGTAAGCCCTATGGACGCTGTTCTGGGGAACTGCATAATGGAGTTAGGTTGGGGGTTCAATTATGGTTTTAAAAGATTTATATATTTTCACTGGTTTTGATTGGAACACACTAGACATCCTATTCAATCTCCTAAAAATGTCATACTATGAATACTTCTTATGACCTAAGATCGTCATGTCTTCTACTTGATGAACTACCAGTGGAACCCAGATTATCCCGGAAACCAGTATACATCTTATTCAATAAGGAAATTATATGGATTTCTATTTATCTGCATGTAATGTAACATCAGCTAGTAGTGTTGTATTAATGAGCTTCCCAAAGCTCACTCTGTTACTCATCTTTTCAGGTTACAAGAATCGTACCAGTGCATCTATCGACATCAGTAAGGAAGTTCTTCCGGCGTTGCTTGCAAAGTATGGTACATGTGATTAGGGGGCATGTAGGTTATATTTTGTTTTTATATCTGAGTCTGAAAGCATGTTTTATTTATGAATACTGATAAATCATTTTATGAGTTTACATGTTTAATAAAATTTTTAAATTTTCCGCTATTTTTACGGTGGGTCGCTCCAGTGGCCCTAATGTGACACCTTGGATCGGATCGGGTCACCCGCATAGGTCTAGGGGGTTACAAGAAAGAAATACAAGATTCTTCCACCTCAATACTAAAATGAGGAGAAAGCAAAATAGAATAATGGGTTTGTGTATTGAGGACAATTGGTGCACGGACAAAACTATGCTCATAGATCATATTGTGGACTATTAAAAGAATATGTTTTACTCACAAGGAAGAGAACTCCTTAGGAGAGCCATATGACAAATTTCAACCGCAACTGATTGATAAGGAAAGCATGGATCTGGTTGAACTGTTATTTTTTCCATGAAAAAATTAAAGGCACTTGGACCAGATGATATTCAACCAATTTTTAAAAGAACAACTGGGACACGATTAAAGACATTGTTCGTAAGTTTGTTAATAATGCTATAATTACAGGGAAAGTCGACCCGAGAATGTTGAGCATATATTATTTAGACCTATCAGCCTCCTTAACACTTCCTATAAAATTCTTGCTAAAGTTTTGGCTCAAAGGCTTAGACATCTCCTTCAAAAAATTGTGAGGCCTTTCCAAAACATTTTTCTACCAGGAAGACATACTACTGATAATATTCTTGTTGTGCAGGAGGATGTTTACACTCTCTCAAACCTCCAAGGAAGGAAAGGGGCAGCAATCATGAAGATTGACCTCCAAAAGGCCTATGACAGAGTGAATTGGTAGTTTCTAAAGGAGACATTGGAAAAGCTTAATAAACTAGAGAAACTGATTGAGCTAATATTATTCTGCAACAAAAATAGCTCGATTGAATCCCTATTTAATGGAGAGAAAACAAAACGTTTTACAGCAGAGCAAGGGCTCAGACAGGGAGACCCCTTATTCCCATACTTGTTTATCTTAGTTATGGAATGTTTATCGCATATCATTTTAGAAACAATTGAAAGAAAACAATGGAAGCCTATCAAATTATCAAGAAGGGTACTAATCTTAGCCACTTAGTTTTTGCAGATGATTTACTGTAATTTTTCGAAGCTACAAGGGAGCAAGTTTTGGAGGTGAAAAGTTGCCTACAAATTTTCAGCAATGTGTCTGAACTGGAGATCAATCTACAGAAATTAAAATTATTTGTTTAAAAAAACATCAACAATGAAGTTGCCATCACTAGAACCGACAACCTTATTGTGTATTTGGGGGTTTTGATCTTTCACGAAAAGGGAAATATCAACACTTATGCCCCGATTGTTGAAAAGGTTATGAGACGAATGGTTGGGTGGAAAGACAATGTATTGTCTTTGGCAGGCCACAAAACATTAATTCAAGTTGTGACTGCTGTCATCCCCATCCATACCATGCAGACTAAAGTACTCCCCACTTCAACATGTAACACGTTGGATAAATTGAACCAAAATTTATTGTGGGGAGAAAGTACAACGTATGAACACAAGCACCTTGTCAATTGGGATATCATGTGTAGACCCAAAAATGCAGGAGGCATTGGAATCAGATGACCTTGGGAGTGATAAACCTAGTGATTGAAGCGGATACTCAATAGGCAATCGAAGCGTTACAAGGAGGAGAATCGACCAACATGCAACATGAAATCATCATCAGTGAATGTCAAAAGATGATGAAAGAATGATGGATTAAAGAAGTTCGACATACCTGGAGAGAGGAAAATCGCTGCACCGATGGATGGCTAACCTAGCTTCCAGAAAAGTCGAAATGATACACTGGATTGAAGAAACACCAAATGAACTTCAAAACGTTTTACAATATGATATCCACAGAATAGAGTTCTTAAAATGGTAAACAAAATGTAGCCATTTTGTCCTTTGTACCAAACAAATAATAAAATATTTTTCCTACATCACTGTCAGAATTCTTTTCTTGAGTTATCCTCCTAACTATGAGACCATCTTCCTACGAGTCGGATCTAATTACAAGACAATTTATCTTATCATACAAGATTAAGGAGTCATAAATTTTATCAGTTGTGAGAGATTCTCAATTACACAATTTATCTCTAAAGGCTTAATAAGATACAAACAACAGACAAAGTATAGTTAATCATAATCATTTTTATCATACTTAATCTTCATGGTCTGCAATGAAACAATTTCTTTAAATACACATGCTTCAAATGTAATTTGTTAGATTTTCTACATGCACAATTGTTCTAACTTCAATCATAATGTAGCAATAGTCTCTTCCTTTGCTACATCTTGTAAAATTTCATTCAAAGGATGCAAACATAATTGCAATAAAAGCTTTTTTTATCCTTATGTTTCTTTTCTTCAAGTGTCAATGTTAAAGACATCTTTCAAATCCATCTATGTTAGAATCGTCTATATGTTCACCTTCCATAACATAAATCTAATATTACAATTTAACAACAAAGTTTCGTACTTCAATGATGTCATTATCGTGATAAAGACAAGCAATTAGTATACCCTAACACCAATTTATTATACTAAACATAGATAATGACAATAGATACGATCACAAAAAAAAAAGACGCCCAAAATTTAAGTGGAGAACCCTAAACATAAAATAACAAAAACCATAGACATATGAGGAGAAATTTTAATATTTTCGAGAAAAACACAAGAGGATTTGTAATTTATCGCATGACTCAAATTTACTTCTAACCCTAATTATTATTTTCTATAAGATAATTATAAAAGAAACTTATATTATAAGAAATCTACTCAAATTAGATTTTTTACTTTTAATAACAACATCTAATATTAGAACTATAGTTGAATACAGATTCAAAAGAATTCAATCTTGAATTCAAATTACCAAAATTCTAACAAATTTCATTTAAAATAATATAAAAACTTACAATATGATATTTGATGAAAAAAATAAATTGAGATAAAAAAATGCATGTTTCTTTGTAGGTACATTAACTTTAGTTTCATAGAAAATTTGAACGTGGAGCTATAAGCCGGAGTTAGCCCAACATCGTAAAGCAGGCCCTGAAATAAGTAAGACTATCCAGAAAGCCCTGCCCATTTGTCCAAAGACTACCAATGAAAAGTTGCAACATTGTCACTTTACCGTCGAAAGGGGGCCACTACTTTTTATCTTATTGGCAATTGACCCTTCATCTTTAGCTTTTTCAATGTAAAGTCTGCGTCCGAATAACACCTTCAAAACCTTGAACTGGTTTACTGTTGACTTTTTCTTTGATTGGATTGTTTCGTCATTTTAAGGGATCTTAATTAAGAATTTCTTAATGCAATCGAACTTGGGGGTATATGGTGCTGCAGGTTGGCTTAGCTCATCCTCAGGCGGCTGCAGATAGAATACATCTGATTGTTCAATCTGCCTATGGCAGAACTCAAAAGTTTCCCACTCAGTGTTTAGGCCGAGCAAAGCTAAGACCCTAAATGTGAATGATTGTTCAACGGATCTAGCTTAAAGTCTATGCTATGCTAACCCTGCATCCCACGGAACAGTTAACCCTTGACGGTTAACAATGCATCTATCTCCAATTATGACCAAAAGCGCCATCCTAAAGGCTGATAATCCAGGCTTGATTCACATGTGCCTCCAGGAAACTATTTTTTCTAGGGTGGGTAAAAGTTGGTTGAAACCGACTTAACCGATAGGATTCGGTCAAATTTGGTTCAGTTAAGTCAGTTCTCATGATAATCGATCTGTTATCGGTTATAAGTTTTAATAAGAGAACCACTAGACTTGACCAACTCCCAATTATATCATTTTGGCCTGATGACGCACAGATTCGGGAATCTAACATATGAGTGCTGATGATACACCTAACTTTTGGTTACTTTTAATTCTATTTCCTGCAGGCGTCTATTATATCCTTTTAAACCACCTATTCATTTAATTCAATGGAGAAATTGTAGTTTACCACCGAAAAGTTGGATGCAAAGGGAAAAGAGGAGGACGAGGTTGACTTGAAGTTTAATGTTAAGGGCCAGGTTGATTTTAATGAAAGAAAGGACAATTTAACTTTTGACAAGTTCGAACAATATGTTCAGTTTCACCATACATATGGCTGGTTTTGGTTCTTTACTACTTGGGAAGTAGAAGATAATCGTCATGGACCAAAATCAACTCGTAGGTAAGTCGATTGGATCATTGCTCATAGGGTGGTGGGTCGCTTCTTCCCTAGGCTTAGTTGGCTTTATTAACTTCACGTCTGAGCACGGATTATTGATGATAGGATGTAAATTACTAATTCGCTTTTTAAGTGTCGTAACACTGCCGGCCATTTAATTACTCAATTTTACTTCTCAGTCATCTATGACTATATATATGCTGTATGGTCTATCGTTCTGGGTACCTTTCTCATTGCATGTCAACGATGGGTGCCTTCAGGGTTTCCATTTTCCTGCTATTTCTTGGTGCTTTTCTTCTTTGCGGTCGTATTGATGCTAGGAAGCTAGCTGCGAGTGAAAAGGGAGTGCATGCAGTTGGTGACAATAAATCTTTCTTCCCTTATACCCCTGTTTACGGTGGTGGATTCGGTTGGCCTGGTGCCGGTGGTGGATTAGGTGGTGGAGGTGGGGGTGGAGGAGGGGGTGGCAAAGGGGGAGCTGGATATGGTTTCGGCGGTGGTGTTGGAGGTGGGATTGGGTCTGGAAATGGAGGACTTGGAGGTGGAGGTGGAGGTGGCGGGGGCGGTGGTGGGGGCTCCAATGGCGGTGGGTTTGGCGGAGGATATGGTGCAGGATTTGGTGGTGGAACTGGAAGCGGGAGCGGGATACCGTGAGTTTGTGAAAATAAATTGTACGCTATTTGGGATTGAAGTAACTTCATCCTGTATGTTGTATGTTGTATGGTGGTATTATCAATTTAGGTTTGCCTTACTTGTCGGCTAGTTGGTTCCCTTCTACATATGTTAACTGTAACCTGTAAGCCTAAAAGTGAATAAATCGGGGGAGTAGAGTTGCATGTAACACAGTTCCCTATATTACGTTAATAATATCTTGGTGTTCATTTCGGGCAATCTTCTTTTTGAGCAATATATTACGTAAATAAAAATGAATATTTTTTTATTGAAAGGCGAATGCAATCGAGTTCCCGAAACTATATTAGTAAAGTTGCATGTAACAAAACTCACTGAATTAGTGTATTGTTTGGTTATATAGGTACTAATTTAAACAGTGTTCATAATAGTTTCAATCTTGATTATCTGTTTAATCTATTCACGTAACGTGATTCGAAGAACACCTAATATATTATACTCTTTAAAAAAGAAAGTCTCAAAATATTACGCTCTTTTCCTTCTCTCTCAATTTTTCTCTAAACTTTGGTTATTGTGTGATTTTTCATCTAATGTAAAGAGGGTGAATCATCGTATGTACGACCACAATCTCTAATGTTATACCTATGACATTAAATTTCTGTGTCAGTTGTTACTTCCTGAGTAGATAGGAATTTAACACACGATAAAGCAACAAATTACAGCATGCCCTGTCAGTTAACAGAAAAACGGGAGATTAGTATTAGTTGCAGCGGTTCAGGTTTATAAAACAACAAACACAATAACATGAAACAAGGCGAATTATGTTGGAGCTGAGCCTGAAGTATCAAATTGAGCTTAGGATGGCTTGTAATATTTTGTTGGTACAAAAGGCATTTTTGTCACAACTCCATCATAGGCCTTTCCTCTTACCAAAATCTTAGCTTTGGTGCCTGCCTTGTGTAACCCAGATTTCACGTATCCCATTGCTATGTTCTTCTTAAGGCAGGGGCTAAATCCTCCACTGGTGATCTCACCAATGTTGTTCCCTTTCTCGTCCTGAATCTCGCTGTGGGATCGTGGAGGTGGTCCGGATGAGGTGAAGCCGACACGCCTGATAGACGGACCCTCTTCGAGTTGTTTAAGGATGACCTCGGCTCCTAGGAATCCACCTTCTGCTCTCCTCCTTTTCCCAATTGCCCAGGTCAGTCCAGCCTCCACTGGTGTTATATGTTGTTCCATGTCATTACCATATAGACACAGCCCAGCTTCGAGTCGGAGACTGTCCCGAGCTCCGAGGCCCGTCAACCTGACCTTCCCTTCAGATTTCTCCAAGATTGCTTTAGCAAGATCCAAAGCATTTTCAGATGGAACTGAGATCTCAAATCCATCCTCACCAGTGTACCTGATTGATAGATTCATCAGTTAACCTCCATTGCCATCTTAACAAGTGATGGCATCACCATGCCAACCAAATTATTACTCTTTGAATGGCAAGAAGAAACAAATATGGAAGATTACCCAGTCCGAGTGAGAAAGCATGTTGCACCATTAATATCCAATATGCGGAATTCCCCAAAATACAGCTTACTCAGATCATCCTTTGTCAGATGTTGAAGAACAGGGGCAGCAAGAGGACCCTGAAAAAGAGGAGGAAATGTTGAAAAATGTTTCCATGTCTTCTAATTCAGTCAAATTGCATCTTCTAAAGACTATCCACCATCGTTGAGAACAGAAGACTATTCTTTCAACGTATAGTGAGAGGACAAACTACAAATAGACGTATAAGAGCTGAACACGAACATAGTTTGATTGCCACAGGCAACTCATGATCGCAGTAACCTGCAAACTGCAAGTAGACCAAACTATTCATATGAATAAAAAGAAAGCACTTGATAAGGAGAAACGTTCACATAAAATGTGCTAAATAAAGAAGCAAAAGTATGCATGTTCCATTCAAAACAGCCACCTGAAAATCGCAAGGATGCAAAATAATGAATCTATATAGAGAATCAGACATGGAGCCATATTATTAGAAGAGTCTATTAACTAACCTGGAGAGCCAAAAGAGATCTCTCATTGTGGATGTGCCATGAGACGTCGCCACCTTTGGACTTGAATGCCTTCATATGCTCTTCAATGTGTGCCAGATCTTTATCCCTACAGCCTGCATTCACAACCAGGTATAAGTGATCATCCTTCACTTTGGTGATCACAGAATCATCAATTGCCCCTCCCTTCTCATTTGTAAAGACGGTTAGTGTTCCCGTTCCAGGTGTTAGTCCAGCCACATCAGCAATGACGAGCTTTTCGAGGAAAGGACACAGTCCTTTCCCTTGAGGCTAAGCCCACACATATGGGATACATCAAAGAGTCCACCGTTCTGCCTGCAGTTAACTGTAGAGTCCATGATTGAGTCCTTGTACTGAATCGGCATGCTCCATCCAGCAAATGGGACCACCTTCCCACCATTAGCAACATGGAAGTCATAAAGAACAGTCTTTTTCAGATCAGCCTCTGAAGCAAAGAACCGTCGTGCTACAGCCTTCTTGTCAGCTTGAGCAAGATGGCGTGTAATCGATTGCCCAAGATACCAAAGACTTCCCCTCATCTTTTAAGGTTGAAATATCTGAAGAAAAGTAATCTTCCAGAAATAAGCAATAATACTAGTAGGAATAACATTCGAATATCACTTCAAGAATTGAATGGTTGAAGATAGAATACGTAATGATCAATCATATGTAAAGAAACACAAATCCAAGAAAAGTTGCACAAAATCAAGCAGCTAGCAGGTAGTTGAAGGAAAAAGCTGTGTCAAACGAAACCCATTTTGGAACATTCTAATTGAAAGGGGAAACTGATTTTCACAGCATTCCGCCACGTTCAACTAAAAAGGTTGTCAAAATCCGAAGGTACAAAAACATGATTAATATACAGGGAAAACAGAAGGGAACCATGCTACAATTCAATAGAATTGCTTCCTGTCTGCAAAATCACACAAGCAATCCAATGAATCGGTTCAATGTGGATATTTACAACACAACACCGTATTACCAATCAAATATCAAATGAATTTCTTCGCAGATGATGATGACCCAGAATGACATGAAAATCAGCATTGAGCTATCCAAGACATTCAACAAAAAACTGAACCATCTCCAATGAAAAACACCACGATCAAATTCACCACCACATCACGAGAGAAAAATAATAATGAACCAAGTTTTTAAAGACATGAAACTATCAATGCAATAAAAAGAAAAGCAAGAGAATGGAAAAGTCTTACAAAGAACCCTTCTTTGTGTTTTTCTTCTTCAAAAATCACATAGAGCACAAGAGACCATTGGTCTGCTAAGAGATAAAAAGAGGATAGAATTTTATATATACAATAATTTAAATATTGGTAGTATTAAAACAAATGAATAGATGGTTTCACTGGTGGAGGGTTAGTCTGCAAAATCCAGAAAAAAAAAAACATAGCCAACAAAACCACATCAACAGCGAGTGGTGCTTATAGGACTTTGGAGCAGTGGAGCTCTACTCTCTCTATATTTCACCACTTCCCAATCACTATCATGTCCCACACATCCACATGTGTCTGCTCCCTCTATCTAACGACCAGGAATCTAAATGTATGCAGCTGCTTTTTATCCGACGTTAAATGTAATCGGTCTGTAATTGAACTGAGTTTAGAATCTAAATTGAAGCATTATACAAAAATTCTTTGAAAATCTGAAATTATGTCGTGAAAGTGGAGTCCTGGAACAGGGCCACCGGAAATCTGAAATTAATTTACAGCGAGTAAATGTAAGCCATATCCAGGCTATGGGAGCAATCTAAAATCAAACTGTTGTTTATATGGTTCCCTCATGTATAAAGTAGCAGCCTCCAGAATCCTTTCTAGATCGGTCTATGTTCATGGACACTCAAACCAGACAACGTGGGCTTTTGCTTGGTCAAATGTAGAACCCAGAGAGCAGTTAGCTTGCGTAGGAAATAACTACTTGGGCTTAAATTTTGGATCGGAATGATTGATTGACACAGTCCAAGCATACAAAGTTGAACACTTCCTCCTCTTTATCCTTAAAAATACTTGGAAGAGTCAAAATGTCAACATCCAATGGTGATGTATTATTACCCGAAAGAGAAAAGGCAATAATATTCATTCATTTTAATTTCAAATTTGACGTTTCTCACTTTATTTATACAACTCTTTATATTTTCATTTGTTAAAGAAAAGTAGAATGCAAAAAACAAACAAATAATCAACTTTATACAAAAGTACTCATTGATTTCTATGCATGAGCCATGAAATATATTTTCAATTTTTCATACTTCTGCTGTATCGTCTTTACAAAATTGCACACAAATATTATCGTCAGTGGTTAATGAAACGAATGAAAGAATCAAAGAATAATCCTTGTACATATGCACATGTTGTGATCATAAATCCCTAAACTAAAACAGCTTGCTTGCGAATTCATCGATGGGGCTTCCTTCTACACGAGAATAACTGGATTTTTTGGCTAAATATCTCAGCGTTGATAAGCTTCTTCCCAATTGCAACGCCACCTTCATTTCAAACAACTCCCCGTTTTCTCTTTTATCCCAATCATTCTCACTGAGAGTTGATTCAATTGATTCTTGCACATGTTTGAAGAAGCCGGCGTTGTTCCTATACATCTCAAACACCATTCCAACTTGGCCACCGTGCTCCAAAGTGTTAACTGCTGAAGCTAAAGCTCCTGCAGCAGCTGCCACGATTGCTGCCCAAGGACCATTGGACGAATCCATGAAGGAAGATCCTAGAGCTGCAATTCCAGTGAGTATTGGCCCTGAGGCAGCTAAAACTTTGTTCATCTTCAATGCTTTGTTGCCTAGTCTCTCGTAATCTTCACTGTCTTTTCTCTTAATCACCTCAACGACTTCTCTCATTTCCATTTCCAGCTCCTCGGTCCATCCATTGCTTTCTACCTTTCCCTTAAAGTATTTTTCTTTGTTGGTTTTCTGAGACTGCATCTTAGGCCACCAAACAGTAGGTTCTAAACTTTCAGGGAATTTTTCAAGCATTACACCTAGCAAGGGAAGAGGATAAGCTTTATCAAGTGCCAACACTTTCTCCATAGTATCTTTCACGTCTTCTTTGCTTGGAGAGCCAGTAGCAAGTAGGGTTTCTATTTGTCGCTGGATCTTCTTAAACAATCTCGTCGCATTACGTTGCTCTTCCACGAGTTGTGAGGGTTGGATTTTGTTCATCAACACTAACATACCCGTGGCTGCAGAGAACAAGAGAGTCGACGCCAACTTCAAACCCAAATCAGAAGCCCCATGGCCGCCGGTTGCCGTAAAACCAGCCATGGTTGCGGCGGTGAGAGTGATCATGTTGATGGAATTCAGGAGAAGGGTGTTCCAGTTGTCCCGTTGTTGCCCGAGGTTGTTGTGCATCTCCACTCTGTCGGCAATAGACTCTAAGATTGCATAAAGTTGAAAGGTAGCCACTGAAACAGATGAGCTTCCTTGAACCAATGGTGAGCTAATAGCATTCTTTTCAAATGGAATTGTGTTGATGAACCCATCCCTAGTATTCAATTCCACAGACAACCCTTTGGTCTGTACTTTTGGAACTGAAAACCTTATCGATGGAATCTTTGGCACGGATAGAGCGGCATGGATTTGCTTTGAAGATGAAGAAGAAGAGAGTAAAAATTAGAAGCTTGTAAAGAAGCCATGTGAGGGTGTTTCTTCTTTAAGAACTCTTCTGTGTGTGAACTTGTGTTAGAATCAAAGTTAACAGATTTTCGGTTTGAGGGAAGAGAAAGATTTGATTGCGGATGTTGCCGATGAATTTGAATGGAGGGGGAGCTTTGGAGGCTTTATTTATAGCAACAACTGAATAGATTTGAGGAGGTCAGGTCATGTTTCGAAATGTTGACCGACTGATTCAATTGACTAGGCTCTTTGGCTGACCTTTTCTCTCCTATAATATTTAGTGATTCAACTACACTTTAGGTCCTTGTACTATTAAATATTTTGAAATTTAGTTCTCTTTACTTTTATTTCTAGGAATCTAGGCCTCTACTTGGATGATATTAATTTGGCTAAACTACGCCAATGGTCACTGATTTTTGGATAAATATTCTTTTTTACTATTGATATTTAAAAAGTCACAAATCAGTCACTAATATTATCGTTTGTTACAAATTGATCACTTGACGTTAACCGGGATTACTACCGTAATGGAATGCTGATGTATCACGTTAATATGATTTTTTATACCATTTAATTGAATTAGACCATTTTGACCGGCCCTTCTTCTTCAACCCAACCCCTCCTTCTTCACCCTTTCCGTTTTAACCGTTCGTCATTCCTCTTACAGACCTATTCCATGTAATGTCACGAGTACTCTTTCGGAATGATCGATATGTCCTACAATCAACAGGATCACGAAAACTATCAATCCATGTCCACAATATGAACACATATTCCCAAATCTCAATCCAACATAGAACTGTTCGTTGACTTTTAAAGCCGAATGCGCGGTTTTCGACCAAGAACATGATGATCATTCACCCTATCAAACTTAAAGCTAAAGAACAACAAGGTCTAATTGTGAAAAAAATCCCATTAAAAATACAGTCTTTTTCTTTTTCCAGATCTAAACATGCTTCAAGCTTCAATCTTTTACAGAAAAAACATATAGAATACCTCGATTTTCAGCGAAATTGGAATGATAATGCAACCTTGTGGTTTTCAACATCTTGGAAACCTACTAATCACTCTCTGAAGCTTTCAAGAAATGATCATCAATCTCATTTAAAACCTCCATTAAATTCACACCAGAAACGGCCTTCACCATTATCCTCAAATCTGCCGGAGCCGTTTTAGAATGCTCAATATGTATATGCTGCTTCCCTTTGTGACTCTTTTTTTGATAATTTAAAATTTATTACCCAAGATAGCAGCGAACCGCTACAAAAATACAGACAAAACCAAGGAGGGATTTTATTTACAACAAAATTAACTTATACCCCAATGTTCACAAAGATCAGAATCAATCCTATCTAATCTATTAACATTTCTATTGCTTATACCAACTCCAACAATCTCCTTAATAGTGTTAATAATATCTTCTTCAGTTCTGCAATTTCATTTAAAGATCCTTCGATTTCTTTCCTCCCATATGATATAATTAAATGCACACCATGAGAGCTTCAATACTCTAGTGATCAGTGATTTACCTTTCCAGGTATTGGATGCCCATTCCAACAGATCAGTCCAGGTCGAAAAGGATCTGTTAATACCATACAGCTGAAGTATTGATTTCCAAATGGTAGCAGTCTTCGTGCATTCAAGAAAGAGATGGTTTCGAGATTCTGTTGTTACAGAGCAGAATGTGCAGGTATCATCGGTAACAAGGCCAAATCGAAATAATCTTCCTTTGGTACGATCCAAGATAATCATCCAGGAAATGATGCTGTGCTTCGTTATATGGAGGGGTACCAAATCAGATTTTGCCATGAAACTTTCGCATCTTTGGGTCTGATTTCTTCCCATATTTCTTTCGTGCTTTTTGCAGCTGTTGCAAGGACTGGTTGAGCAATATTTCTCCCTTTGTGACTCTTGACGGGCATTGCGGGCATAATAACGGCGCGTTTGATGGGAACGGGGTTAGGGGAGAAGTTAGGAAGCGGTGGCGGTGGAGGCGGTTGAGGAGGAGGGATCTGGTCAGGATTCAGGAGAGGGACTTCAGCTTCTCCATGGCCATAGTCACTCAAGGCAGCTCCAGTGTTCGTCAAGGAAATGGCGTTGCCAGAATGAGCAGCCGCAAAGGCTTTGCGAGCTGCAACTGCTTCTTTCATTAACCATTTCCGGTCCTTGCAACGAGCCACTGATTCTTCGTTATCTATTCTCAACTGAGTAGAACCCATTAAAATATATATGTAAACTTTTTAGTTCCCAACGACTCGGGTGATGAAAACCGAACCGGAGACGGTGGTATCCCTCATTCATTTGGATTTTTTTGGTTTGTATTATCTCGGTTCCATTGTTCTTCCATTTTTGGTCTTCCATGATTGAAGAAGAAGAGGTTGGATTGAAGAAGAAGGGTCGGTCAAAATGGTCTAATTCAGTCAAATGGTGTAAAAATCATATTAACATGTCATTCCGTTATGGCAATAAACAACGGTTATCGTCAAATGATAAATTTGTAAATAACGATAATATTAGTGATCGATTTGTAATTTTTTAAACATCAGTTGAAAATGAACATTACCCAAACATCAATGACCATTGGCGTAGTTTACCCTATAAAATTCTTTTAATAAGTTTTGTACGCATTAAAGTATGATATAAAATTAGAATCAAATTAATAATAATACTAACTTATTTATTTTAAAC